TTTCTCTGTACTGAGCACCGGATGTTAGCTCAGAGTGTAATCTGACCTGTGCTGGAAGTTCAGGGGCGGAGTTGTGACTCTTCTGATGGAGTCTGAAGGGTGCAGTCACGTTTCTATGTACTGCTGAATGACAGGAATAAAAAGACATGTAAATAGACTCCTGTCTGTCTCATTTCCCCTCCTGGGGGGGGGGGAGCAAGGAGAGAGAAGCAGAGGGTGTGTTCTTCTCATGTCTAATGAGGAGAATCGCCGATTTACGACCTAGTCTGCCGGGAGACGCAGACGGAAGGTAAACAAGTATCTCACTCAGTTCGCCTCGGGGGAGGCCAGCTACCTCTGTCTGTGAGCTGAGATACTGACATATGGCAGCATTCGATGGTTGCGATTCATCGAACATCTGCATGAGAGGCTGGTGAATTGTCCTCCTCTGCTCCAAGCAAGGAGATAAGCGTCTGAGAGCAGCCAGAGGCTGAACTGACAGATGGACCCAGAGGAAAGTGTTTTAAAGCAACGGAGCTCAAGGTATGCTGCATTTCGGGCTAAAAAGTGTGAACGCAGATTGATTTATTCTCTGGTTCACGGGAGCTGCGTTTGAAAAAAACAACAGCTCCGGGAGGAGAGGCCTGCAGCTCAGAGGCTAAGCCTGCATTCCACGAATTCTTGTGGTTGAGATAAGCCTTCCTGCATGCACAGTTGCTAAGCGATGCCCGTCAGAGACGTGGAAATTTACTGGCTGCGCAGATGGCTCTGAGAGAGAGTGCCTGGGAAGCGAAAGTTTGTTTTGACTATGTTTCAGATGCTGTGCAAGGTCTGAGAAACAGCTTGCAGTTTGCCTGGAGAGGCAGTAAACAACCCAGCAAAAGGCTATTGGAGTTTTAGCAAGGCTGGAAAGAGAGAGATGCTTGGCTTCAAGATGGATGCCAAGAAGGGGGGACTGCCTTACCCACCTCCCTTAACTAATGACAATTATTCATCTTGGTCTGTAAAGATGAAGGCCCTGCTGCAGAATCAGAGGCTTTTTGACGTAATTGAAAACCCCATCCCTGCAGCACCAACCAGAGGTTGGGAGTCACGGAACGTGAGGGCCAGGACTGCTATAATTCTGTGTGTCTCAGATGATCAATTGGTGCATATTCAGGATTTAGAAAATGCGAAAGAGGTTTGGGATACGCTGCGTACAACGCATCAGAGAGATGCTGGTTCTTCAGCGTTGCTGTATTTTGAAAAGTTGACCAATCTGAGATTAGCGCCTGATGGAGATGTTCAAGCGCACCTGACAGAAATGAAGTTTCTGCGTCAACAGATGGTGGAACGCAATTTCCGTCTACAGGAGGAAGTGTTTTGCTTCATGATGATAAACAGCCTGAATCGGACTTACAAAGTTGTTGCCAGTCAGCTTGGTTCCCTACCTGCGGCCGACCTGACTGCGGAGAGAGTGTGTGCGGTGGTTCTTAATGAACACGACAGACTTGCTGCACTGGAAGTGAAGGACAGGGGGAGGGAAGAACAGAATTCTAATTCCCCCACTGCTGATGCTACTGGAGAGCATGCTGTAGCATTGAGCGCTGTCCGATGCTACAATTGTGGACAGACTGGGCATCTACAGCGGAACTGTAGAAAGCCGCGACAGTCAAAAGGAGCCAAGAGCAGCTCTACGAAGCCTGAGGCGTCAGGCAAAAGCCGTACCAAGTGCCAGGTGAAACCTGCAAAGGCTATGATGGCGAAAGGAACCACGCCAGATGTTGGGAACGCATTCATAATCGACACGGGCTGTACAAAACATATGTGCCCGCACTGAGAACTGTTTTCGATGATTAAGAAGCAAAGCTTCACTGTGAAACAGGCCAACGGTCAAGAGCTGGAAGCGACCGGAATTGGGACTGTGTATCTTGAGAGTCTGAACTTGACAATAAGCAATGTTTACCTGGTTCCAGAACTGAGATTTAATTTGCTGAGTGTGTCGCAGATTGCAAAGAAAGGACTGAAACTGTCCTATGATGCTAAAAGCTGCAAGATCTACAAAGATGGAGAACTGTATCTTACTGCCAGAGAAAAAGATGGACTGTATTTGTTGACTTTTGATCAAAGTGATTACATGAAATGTAATTCTTCTGATTCTAACGAAATTTCTCTTGCAGGTGTGACCAACAAGGACACCCGGAAGGTGACCAAAAGGTCGACAGAGCATTTCAGCGGGTGTATGCTGATGTGATTGGTCCTCTAGAACCATCTAGGGGCGGTGCAAAATATTACCTTGTGTGTGTTGATTGTTTTACTAATTATTCTTGGGTTTTTATGATGGAGAAACCACAAGAGACCTTAGAGAAGTTTCAGGAGTTTTGTGACAAGGTTAAAAATATGCATGATGCTAACATTGATTGTCTCTTCACAGATGACAAACAAGTTTTTCTGTTACAGAAGTTTCAGAAGTTCCTGGATGGAAAAGGGATAGGCCACCAAGTTGCTGTTTCAGCCGAAGCGTGGAACAGGGGGGTCTGTGTGAGGGTAAACAAAGAATTGCAAAAGGGGATGCATGCGCAATTGCTGAGTTCACATTTACCACATGAATATTGGGCCGAGTCACTAACGTCCTATCTTCACGTGTGGTTGAGAAAAGTCTCAACAGAGTTGGGATGTTCTCCTTTTGAGAAGCTGTTCAAAAGAAAACCTTCTGTTGCCTATTTTAAGATTTTCGGATCGCATGTGAGAACAGAAGCTCCAGGTGGAGTGAAGAATGCCAGAGGCATTTTTGTGGGATATGAAAAGGGTCTCTACAGAGTAATTTTGTCTGAATCTGGTCAGGTGATTCTCACAAAATTTCCCACAGAGAACGATTCAGATGATGATTTTTCTGATGTCACAGATGACAGTGGTACTGATGATGACAGTGATAGCTCAGAGAGTTCAGTTGTAACAGTCATTGAGAGGAAATCTCACACAATGGATAGACCTTCACAGGTGAAGGAAGAACCACTGTTTGCCAATGCTACTGGTTCTCAACAGAGTCCAGAGGTTGAACCAGTGAGCACAGAGGATCAGCACCTCATACGCAGGTCTGAGAGAGTTACAAAGGGTGTACCACCAAAGAGGTACTCGAAAGAGTTTGCTAACTTAGCTGTTGCATGTGTTGCTATTGTTAACAACTCAAAGCAGGTTAAAGCAGTGTCTAAGTCAGAGACAAAGACACAACAGAGAGTAGCTAGCCAAGGTAATGCTGATGCACTCATTTCTTGGAAGCCAGACAACCAGAGAGGTACACTGGTGAAACCAGTGGTGGGGAGTTCCAAGGGTGGAACTGAAACAACAGGGGAGTGTTATATGTATAACAACTGTTTGTTTTCTTCTCTGGATCATGTTTTGCCTATTGATGCTTTTGGGGGAGATTGTTGGATAAAAGCACCAATGCAAAAGCCAGCAGCAGGTGGCTGGAAAGCAAAACAGGATGTTGTTGTCTGCAGGTGTACTGTTGGAGAAAAGGGGGAGTCTTTTCTCTGTACTGAGCACTGGATGTTAGCTCAGAGTGTAATCTGACCTGTGCTGGAAGTTCAGGGGCGGAGTTGTGACTCTTCTGATGGAGTCTGAAGGGTGCAGTCACGTTTCTATGTACTGCTGAATGACAGGAATAAAAAGACATGTAAATAGACTCCTGTCTGTCTCATTTCCCCTCCTGGGGGGGGGGAAGCAAGGAGAGAGAAGCAGAGGGTGTGTTCTTCTCATGTCTAATGAGGAGAATCGCCGATTTACGACCTAGTCTGCCGGGAGACACAGACGGAAGGTAAACAAGTATCTCACTCTGTTCACCTCGGGGGAGGCCAGCTACCTCTGGCTGTGAGCTGAGATACTAACAGGAGGTAGTGGAGGACAGAGGTGCCTGGCGTGCTCTGGTCCATGGGGTCATGAAGAGTCGGACACGACTAAACGACTAAACAAAAATAAAGGGGTTGGACTGGATGACCTTATGGGTTCCCTCCAACTGTACAACTCTATGATTTTAGGACTTTCTTGCCCCTGTCTCTTCTGCTGCAGACCTCTGCATCTTCTGGTGGAAGTGGGAAAGACAACGTGTGCTGCTTTGTTGAAGAGGGAGTGGGAATGTGATACCTGCTTTGCAAAGTGCTGCACCTGCCTTTGCTCGTAGCAGACGACCGATGCCGGATTTACATATAAGCTAAACAAGTTATAGCTTAGGGCTTTACTCTCTTGGGGACCCAAAAAAAATCTAAAGGAAAAACCTGGATGTACATTTCCAAAATATAAGATAAAAAAACCAATAAAATAAAACCTACATACAGCAACAGTGTTTTGTGTTGTGTAGGCTCCTATGATCTAAGTTATGGGTAGGCAAACTAAGGCCCAGGGGCCAGATCCGGCCCAATCGCCTTCTCAATTCGGCCTGCGGACAGTCTGGGAATCAGCATGTTTTTACATGAGTAGAATGTGTCCTTTTATTTAAAATGCATCTCTGGGTTATTTGTGGGGCATAGGAATTCGTTCCTTTCCCCCCAAAAAATATAGTCCGGCCCGCCACAAGGTCTGAGGGACAGTGGAACCAGCCCCCTGCTGAAAAAGTTCGCTGACTCCTGATGTAAGTCATGGGCCCCACCTGCTAGCCTGCTCCTTAAAATATCACCAGTTTGCTCCTTTCTATATATAGGGTGCCTACATTCTGAATGGACTGGTAACATGGCAATATGTGCAAATGGCTTTAGGTCTATAAATTACCATATAGCATATATTCAACACAAAAACCAGCAACGATTTGTTGTTGACAAAGGACAGCTGGACATATAGAGGGCCCCATGACCTTCAGTAGCCGAGGGCCTCATCAAACCTAAATCCGGCCCTGGAAGGGACTGAAACCCAATCCAACAGGCTCACTCCTGCCGCACGAGATCGAGGAGCTGTGGAGTTGCGCATGCCCAGTAGATAAACCGTGTTGAGGAAGGAGAACACCACCTCTTAAGGAAGGCGAAACCTCAGAGTTCTGGGAGGCGTCGTACCTGCGGGTGCGTCGTGAGGAGCGAGGATCCCGAGACGTAGGAAACCTTCTCGTAATGCGACTGGATGATCCAGTTGGAGCTGCCTAGGGCATAACCGGAACTGAGAGGGGAGACCTGGACTGCACCAAAAAGCTCCTGTTGGAGAGGAGAAGAAAAACAACACATGGAAGAATTCCAGAAAGTATTTCCCGGTGTATGATTTTATTTTATTTTATTTTATTTTATTTTTCATGGTAAATCTTTTTCATTGGTTTAAAATACAGACATGAATGATCATTTACAACAAAGGTAAGTATGAAGGTATTGAATACAGGGGAAACAAACATCAAGACATAAGAATAAGAAAAAAAGAAGATAAAAAAAGAAAAGAAAAGAACAAACATTTTTTAGAGAATCATATCCATCAAATAAAAAAATTATGCATAAAACTTCCAATTGTCCTTATTATACTGTTTATATAATCATAATTTTATCGCACAGCTTTACATTATTTCCTTTTTCATGTATTCCACTAAAGTATTTGTTTCACTCATTTTTGTTTACAGGTATCATTCCAGTTCTGCTAGGATGGTATTGTTTGTACAATATAATCTTATATATTCCTTAAACATTTTCCTTCTCCATTATTTCTGATTTAAAGCTCCTGACTTTTTACGCATATTTTCAGATCTGTTACCTGCCCTTTGCCATCAGGTCACAGGACAGGTGACACCCTTTACCACGCCTCCTGCATCCCACAAAAAGCAGGACGTGACCATGGATACTCACTATTTTCTGGGAATACCCCACCAGCTGGATCTTACTGAGCGCTGAGTTCACTTCCTGCATATTGTAGCACCTTCTCCACATGGCGACTTCGACCGCGTCTTTGAGAGGGGTGGGAAGCAGCCTGGAGACAGAGAAAGACTGGATCAGGCTCAGCAATGTGCCAAGACTCTTGGCGCACTTAGGTCCACCAAGACCCCTAGATCCTTTTCACATGTACTGCCAGTAAGCCAGGTGTTCCCCATCCTATACAGTGGTGCCTCACAAGACGAAAATAATCCGTTCCGTGAGTCTCTTCGTCTAGCGGTTTTTTCGTCTTGCGAAGCAACCCTATTAGCGGCTTAGCGGATTAGCGCTATTAGCGGTTTAGCGGCTATTAAAGGATTAGCGGCTTAGTGGCTAAAAGGCTATTAGCGGCTTAGCGGCTTAGAAAAAGGGGGGGGAAAGCGGGGAAAAAATCGCAAGACGTTTTCGTCTTGCGAAGCAAGCCCATAGGGAAAATCGTCTTGCGAAGCAACTCAAAAACGGAAAACCCTTTCGTCTAGCGGGTTTTCTGTCTTGCGAGGCATTCGTCTTGCGGGGCACCACTGTATTTGTGCATCTGGTTCTTCCTGCCTAAGTGCAGAGCCTAACTCTGTTCCGGCGACATTTGGTGACAGACTATGTATATGTCGAACTTTTGAATTGTTCTACCGCGACTGGTGAAGAAGATTTAGAGACTTCGGTTGCAATTTCTGATCATTTGTATTAGTCTATACAGTAGTACAAGGGACGCGGGTGGTGCTGTGGGTTAAACCACAGAGCCTAGGACTTGCCGATCAGAAGGTCGGCGGTTCGAATCCCCGCGACGGGGTGAGCTCCCGTTGCTTGGTCCCTTCTCCTGCCCACCTAGCAGTTCGAAAGCACCTCAAAGTGCAAGTAGATAAATAGGTACCGCTCCGGTGGGAAGGTAAATGGCGTTTCCGTGTACTGCTCTGGTTCGCCAGAAGCGGCTTGGTCATGTTGGCCACATGACCCGGAAGCTGTACGCCAGCTCCCTCGGCCAGTAAAGTGAGATGAGCGCGGCAAACCCAGAGTTGGCCATGACTGGACCTAATGGTCAGGGGTCCCCTTTACCCTTTATACAGTGGTACCTCGGATTAAGAACTTAATTCGTTCTGGAGGTCCGTTCTTAACCTGAAACTGTTCTTAACCTGAAGCACCACTTTAGCTAATGGGGCCTCCCACTACCGCTGGAGCACAATTTCTGTTCTCACCCTGAAACAAAGTTCTTAACCCGAGGTACTATTTCTGGGGTAGCGGAGTCTGTAACCTGAAGCATCTGTAACCTGAGGTACCACTGTAAATAGTGTTTAGTGCCATTGTTATTGGCCATCGTGTTGTGTTATTTTGTTCAGCAAAGTGCAGAGCCTGATGTTTGAAATACATTTTCTTTGCTTGTGCCCAGTTCTCCAATTTGTTATGGTCATTTTGAATTCTAATTCTGTCCTCTGTGGCATCAGCTACCCCTCAATTCCTTCATTCAAGTCATTTATAAAGACGTTGAACAAGAATGGGCCCAGGACAGAACCCTGCGGCACCCCACTTGTTACGAGGAACCATTAATGAGTACTGAAATATACTCAGTCTAGAGTGGATTTCATGCTCTTTATTCAGCTCATAGTGGTGAGGAGGAATGAATTGTTTCCCCACAGTATCTGCTTTATATACATTATTTACACAATGGGCTGGACGTGATTGGCTAATTCTGGAATTCTCCTGTAAGCCAATCAGGTTGTGGATTCACTTCCATCTGGAGCTGGATTGGGTGGCTCCTGCAGACCAATCATACTGCTGCATTGTTCTAGGACCAATCAGACTGCTGCATTCTGAATCCTATTGTTCTAGGACCAATCAGACTGCTGCATTTTGGGTCCTATTGTTCTAGGACCAATCAGACTGCTGCATTTTGGATCCTATTCAACTCAGTACATAACAAGTACTCTTTGGGTTTGGTCAGTCAACCAGCTACAAATCCACCTAACAGTCACCTCGTTCAACCCACATTTTACCAGCTTCCTCGTGAGAATATCATGAGGGACTCTGTCAAAAGCCTTACTGAAATCAAGATACACTATGTCCACAGCATTCCCTTGATCCACCAAGTTTGTAATTCCATCAAAAAAGAAAGAAAGAAATCAGATTGGTCTGGCATGCCTTATTTTTGAGAAACTATAAAGTTTTAGAAATCACAACTCCTTCCCTGCGGGAGGGAGTTCCGTAGTTTAATGAAGAGAAATCAAGTTGCAATATGCATATCCACTGCCAATGCCAAAAATGTGCCGGAAGATTCAGAAAACATGAGCAGATTGTGTGCCGTGCGAGTAAGTACTCAGAAGGAAAAAGGAAGGGGAGGAAACTGGTTTTTTAAACAGAAACTTTGACACAAGTATTAAAACCTTTTATTCCTTGGGAAAGCCGCCATTGTTGCAGACTTCCCCCCTTTCTCCGCAAAGGAAGCCGGAGAGCGAGATCCGAGAATGGCAGCGTCAAGGCACATAAAAAGGATGGCCGTCTCTTTTGACATAAATCTCTAACAGTACGAGGAGCCCGGGCAGGAAGGCAGTGAGAGCTGCCAGCGAGGGGAAGAAGAATTGGGTTCTTACTTTGTATATTAAACAGATGCTAAATCAAAAGCTCATTCCAACCCATTTCCAATGATTTGTGAAAACCGGTCAACTTATGTCGATCCATTTGTTTGAAAGGAGCTGATTTACTGGGGAATCGGTTGGGCCACTGACCTCCTCCTCCATAATTTTTAGGAGACTGAAGCAAGTGTTGAGGATTGCTCCTGCCAATGTCTCCATGTTCACCTAGCGCAGAAAACCTGTAATTTCTACAGATGCCGACAGAAGAGAGCCAGTGGGGGTGGGGGTGGTTAGAGTGTCAAATTGGACCTGGGAGAGACCTGGGTTCAAATCCTCGCTCAGCCATGATGTTCACTGGGTGACCTTGGGCCAGTCACTGCCTCTCAGCCTAAACTACCTCACAGGGTTGTTGTGCGAGGTTAAATCAGGGAGGGGGAGAATCATACCTTGAGCTCCTTGGAGGAGAAGGTGGCATATAAATGTAAAATTAAAATAACGTGCCCTCTTTGGATGGAATGCCATAGGAAACCCAACAGCCAGCCTGTTTTCTCCAAGTTATTGCAAATTTCTAAGACACACTTTCATTAAAATAAGAGAGGTCTCCATAAAACCATGGGTAGGCAAACTAAGGCCTGGGGTCCGGATCCGGCCCAATCGCCTTCTAAATCTGGCCTGCAGACGGTTCAGGAATCAGCTTGTTTTTACATGAGTAGAATGCGTCCTTTTATTTAAAATGCACCTCTGGGTTATTTGTGGGGCATAGGAATTCGTTCATATCTCATTATTATATAATAATGAATATTGCAAGAAAGTAAATGAGGATACAAATTCTATTTAAAGGCGATATTATAATTAAGAAATGTGTAGATAGGAGAGTAATTATGGATGATTTCAGAGGAGTTGAGGGAGGTTCAACAAACCAAAATATGTGATGTGGAAAAATGATGACTGGAGATTTTATGGAAAAATTTTAATAAAAATATTTATATATAAAAAAAAGGAATTCGTTCATATCCCCCCCCCCAAATATAGTCCGGCCCCCCAGAAGGTCTGAGGGACAGTGGACCGGCCCCCTGCTGAAAAGGCTTGCTGACCCCTGCATAAAACCATGCTTAGAAACATTGATAAAGGGAGGACACGCCCTCTGTCGTCCTCCCTGCAAAAGCACCCCAACTCCATGGCACTCATCCAGGAGGTGCTGCTGTTTGAGGTGGAGGAATGAAAGGGGAAATACGATGTCAGCCATCGCAGTGCCACAACTCAGCGAGGTTCGGAGTTGCCAGCCATTAGGTTGCAGACGGTAATGGGGTAAAAACCATCAGCTGCCCTGATGCACTAAGTATACTCCTTGCAGAGCTTTCCGTTTAAAAGGCGCCGGCGTTTCCTACAATAAAGGGAGCGGCTCAGTTGCACACAACCCAATCGGGGCTGGAAGTGTCTGAGCTGCAAAGTGATATAAACGCAGGGAACGGTCCAGGCTGCTGTGAAAAGAGGGGAAGAGGCACCACCGACAAGCTGAACGAGGCTCACGGGTGACGCAAAATAAAAGGAGATCGGCATAACATTGCGCTCACTTGGGGGTGTCCCCTGTTTTCAAAAGCCGCTATCTCACCAACCCTAGGAAAGAGGCACCGATTTGGGCCCAGCCAGCCAGACTCGGGGCTGACATCGAGGACCCGGCCTGACAGCGCCAAGCGCAGATGCTCAAAACCTTCATGGATTCACTGATTCGCTGGCCAGGCTCTGTTTCAAAGGGACTGGTGCCACACGCCATGCGCTGGGGAGAGTCCCATTGTGCTCAGGTCCTCCCAGGCCTCTAAGATCTATCTGTTCATCAGTATTCAAAAGCTTGGGCTTTTGTACACTCTGCTGTTTTGTTGCGATATTTTTTCCATTATTGTATTATTATTATTTTTAATATACAGTGGTAGCTCTGGTTGAGAACGGAATCCATTCCGGAGGCCCGTTCACAACACGAAAAGCCCGCAACCTGAAGCACGGTATCTGCGCAGGTGCGCAGTGTGATTTGGTGCTTGTGCGCATGTGCGAAGCGTGATTTAGCGCTACTGTGCATGCGTGAGCAGCAAAACCCAGGACGCAACCAGAAAAAAACATAACATGAAGCAGACGTAACGTAAGGTATGACTGTATATCTAATCCACATGCCGCCCTATAGCCGTAGATCTCTGGACGGTTCACAACAGAAAATGATACAAACACACACACACACACACACACACACACAAAATGCGTAATAAAAATAACAACAAAGGCAACCCAGCAATCCCCACCCGCTTCCACAGCACATTTAAGAGGGCATTGGATGTCAACCAGCCAAATATTAATATTAATAATAATTTTGCTATTTATGTGCCGTCCATACAACTGAGTTGCCCCAGCCACTCTGGGCGGCTCCCAACAAAATATTTAAAGAGTAAAATGTCAACCTGACTGAAGAGGAATGTTTTCACCTGGCACCTAAAGGTGTATAATGAAGGTGCCAGGCGAGCCTCCCTGGGGCGAGCACCCTACAGATGGGGAGCCACTGCAGAAAAGGCCCCGTTCTCATGTTGCCACCCTCTGGGCCTCATATGGAGCAGGCAAACGAAGGACCTCAGGGGATGTTTGCAGGGTCCGGGTAGGTTCATATGAGGAGAGGTGATCCTTGAGGTTCTGCGGTCCCTGAGGTATTGTTGATTTTGTTGTTCTAAGTCAGTGGTTCCCAAAGTTGGTGGTTCTCTCCCTCCCCCACCTAGAGGGGGGATTACTTGGGGGGGGCATCCTAAGAGTCAAGGGGGCAGCAGGAGGGTGCAACTGACTTCCAAACTTTGGAAAGCTGGCATCATTGGGCTGAGTCCATCAATTTTGCTAAATTAGTTAATTAAACTGAATGGTTCCAATTGGATTTTGAATAAATGTGCAATTAATCCTCCCTGTTTCGAAATTTTATCGTGCTATTATCTTCCTTAGTGGGCCGTGCAAACCACTGTGTTTTTATGCCGTGAACAGCCCCGAGATCTACGGATGAAGAGCGGTATAAAAAGTAAAATAATTATTCATACTACTAATAATAATGCTTTTTATAGGGTAGAGGGGCACTAAAAGGGACGCGGGTGGCGCTGTGGGTTAAACCACAGAGCCTAGGACTTGCTGATCAGAAGGTCGGCGCTTCGAATCCCCGCGACGGGGTGAGCTCCCGTTGCTCGGTCCCTGCTCCTGCCAACCTAGCAGTTTGAAAGCACGTCACAGTGCAAGTAGATCAATAGGCACCACTCCGGCAGGAAGGCAAACGGCATTTCCGTGCGCTGCTCTGGTTCGCCAGAAGCGGCTTAGTCATGCTGGCCACATGACCTGGAAGCTGTATGCCGGCTCCCTCGGCCAATAAAGAGAGATGAGCGCCACAACCCCAGAGTCGGTCACGACTGGACCTAATGGTCAGGGGTCCCTTTGCCTTTAGAGGGGCACTGGGGATGAGATTATGGAACCAATGGGGCAAATGGCCCCCAAAATGTTTGGGAAATGTTGTTCTGACTGACGCAAGCAGCTCTGAGGATTGGGCAGCTGAGAAGCAGGGCGGGAAACCAAACCATGGGGGAGTGCCATCCGGGGACACCCCCCCTTCCCAAGGGAGGTGCCCTGCGAAGGGGGGGTATCCATCCTTACCTTTGCACTTCCTTATTCTTCCACATGGAGGCAGACTGAGCCTTGGGCACCCGCTCAATGAAGTTGACCAGCTCCTCCATCAGAAGCCTGCAGAGAGGAGCAACTGTTAGAATTCTTGCTCCGGTCAAATGCTAGAGAGAGAGGGAGCCATGTTGCAGTGCTCCATGTGTGCTTATATGTAAATAATAATAATAATAATAATAATAATAATAATAATAATAATAATAATAATAATAATAATTTATTTATACCCCACCCATCTTGCTGGGTTTCCCCAGCCACTCTGGGCAGCTTCCAACAAAACACTAAAATACAATAACCTACTAAACATTAAAAGCTTCCCTAAACAGGGCTGCCTTCAGATGTCTTCTAAAAGTCTGGTAGCTATTTTTCTCTTTGACATCTGGTGGGAGGGCGTTCCACAGGGCAAGTGCCACCACCAAGAAGGCCCTCTGCCTGGTTCCCTGTAACTTGGCTTCTCGCAATGAGGGAACCGCCAGAAGGCCCTTGGAGCTGGACCTCAGTGTCTGGGCAGAACGATGGGGGTGGAGACGAGTCAGGGGCCTGAGCCTGCCCTGGCTCCAGATGTGGGGATGACCTCGTTGCCTCCAGCTGGGCCATCACTTACAGCTGCTCCACTACCGGTTGGGTCAGGGGAGGCTGAGGCGGCCCCTGGGTCTAGTAACCCACCGATGTCTCCCAAGCTGCAGAGACTGAGGTCTGAGAGAAGGTGAGACCTAAGTACTCGCAGGAAGAGTGCTCGCCTTCAGGCGAAACAGGGAGGTGAGTCACCGGGGGATCAGGACTGGCCGTTACCCTGACAGAGAGATAAAAGGCTGCTGGACCCCGTACCAGGTTGCGGGAGCAATGTTGCTGTTTGCCAGAACCTGCCTGTGATCCTGTGCCTGACCTTGCCTGGTTTCCTGCCTTGGCCCTGTTGGACTGAGTCGTCACGGAACCCTTGGATTCGGGACCGGACCTGGACCGCGTTACTCGGGTCACCCCTGGGCCCAGCACACCCAGGGTTCCTTCTTATTCTATGATCCTGTGATTCTGCATTTAGCAACTTGCAAAACAGAGGAGTGTGTCCCTGGCATGTGAAGAAGAGTAGAAGTGTTTGGATTTGATATCCTGCATTATCACTCCGAGACTGAGAGACTTCAGAGAAGTGTGACTAGCCCAAGGTCACCCAGCAGCTGCATGTGGAGGAGCAGGGAAGCAAACCCAGTTCACCAGATTAAGAGACTACCACTCTTAACCATTACACCACACTGTGCTGCCCACCACGGAAGCAGCTGCAGAGGTTTTCTGTGAGCGCAACACCGTCTAGCACCATTTAATCGCTCTGCCCAGGCCTGCCAAACAGAGGAGCACAAACTGACTCACGACATTCGGGAAGAAGTCAAGCATGCAGTGCACACACTTAAAGCCGCGAAGAACTTCCTTGGCTCGCTCTCAGCCGCGTCTTAAAAGCCTCTCAAGAACATTAGAGAGGCAACGCTCCTCTTCCCCGTGTCGTCCTCTACATCCTTCCCCGAAGGCGAGGAGATAAAATGAGGCTTTCCCCCCCTCACCTGCCAATCTGAACCGTCGGCTCGGTGGCGTAGACGGTTCCGGTGAACCCGGTGTGCTCCGTAATGTAGGGCAAGGCCATCATGCAGTGGTAGTTTGAGATCAGGATGACGTCCACCGTCGACAGGTCAATCAGCTCCATCTGAAAACAGAGAGCGTAAGTGTGGCCTCCCAGGTGTGTGACATTATACTGGGTTCATAAGGAAAGGGTTAACTAACTGTAAAATGACTAATCAATGGGAGCCCAAGGGGCAGAATTAAATGTGCATAAGGTTTAAGCACAGAGGTTTTTGGGAGAGATAGAGTTCGGGTGGTTGAGAAGACAGTCTGGAGTTAGACGAGACAGAGAAGAGAAGGCTGTGGGTTGGGCTAGTCTGGTGTGAGAGAGCGAGAGAATTTGTTAAGAGGAATCAGTCAAACAGTTGAGATAATCAGTCAGAAGGTATAGGTGGGTAAAGAAACTAAAGTTAAGATACCGACAGGAATATTATCTGAGAAACCATAAACTTGTTAATGTTTGTAAAATAAACTTGGGTTTTTTTGTTCACTTTTAACAACTGCTTGGACTCAGTGTTTTACCCGAGAGTTAGGGATGCGCTGTGGGTTAAACCACGGAGCCTAGGATTTGCCGATCAGAAGGTTGGCGGTTCGAATCCCCGCGATGGGGTGAGCTCCCGTTGCTCGGTCCCTGCTCCTGCCCACCTAGCAGTTCGAAAGCACATCAAAGTGCAAGTAGATAAATAGGTACCGCTCTGGCGGGAAGGTCAATGGCGTTTCCGTGCGCTGCTCTGGTCCACCAGAAGCGGCTTAGTCCTGCTGGCCACATGACCCGGAAGCTGTACGCCGGCTCCCTCGGCCAGTAAAGCGAGATGAGCGTCGCAACTCCAGAGTCGGCCACGACTGGACCTAATGGTCAGGGGTCCCTTTACCTTTTAACGGGTTGGTGGCAGCGGGGAAGCAAGCACAGTGGTGGCGCAGAGATCAATAGACCGTTAAACGTCCGGGGACCCTGTGTGATCGCCACAGTAAGGCGCTGTTGGGAAACGCAGCCTCCTAAAAAAGTCTTCTCCCTCCCTCAGAATGGAAGAGGAGGCTATCGAGCCCAGCATCCTGCTCCTGCTGTGGCCAACCGGGTTGCCTGTGGGAAACCTGCAAGGAGGATTCGAACCCAAGAGCAACTCTCGCCCTCCTGTGGTTTGCAGCAACTGGTACCCAGAAGCGCTGCTGCCTCGAACTACGAAGGCAGAGTGTTGCCATCCAGGCTGGTGGCCATCGATAGCCCTCTCCTCCTCCATGAATTGGTCCAATCCTCTTCTAAAGCCATCCAGGTTGGTGGCCATTACTGCCTCTTGTGGCAAGGAGTTCCACAGTTTAACTATGGCATTGCTTGGACAAATGCTTCCTTTTACCTGTCCTGAACCTTCCAACATTCAGCATTGTTGGATTTCCCAGTGTTAGGATTCAAACCCTGGTCTCCCAGGTCTTAGTCCAGTACTCTGACCACTACACTGCTCAGGGTGTAGTGAGGGCCCAGCAATGCTCTGCTTCTGACATGACTTTTCCCTTTTCTCCAGATTTCCTCAGACTAGGTCTCACTCTTGTTTCCGCTCCTTTGGCCCTATTGAGTGGTTTCCCTCCTTCCTGGGCCTGTCTGATCCTGGGGTCCACCCAGGGGCCCATCGCAAGTAGATCGTGAGACCCTTACTCTCAGGGTTCCGGGTTCGAGTCCCATGCTGGGCAAAATATTCCTGCATTTCAAGGGGTTGGTCCCTTCCAACTCGACGATTCTGTGATTCTATCCAAGGGGCCAAGATTTCTGAGATGAAAAGCTGAGAGGAGGCAACTTTTAGAAGGTGGGTGTGGGAAGCAGCTGAAAGGCAAGGTCTGAGGCCTCAAGTATGGCCTAGAATCTCAAATATAAATTTGACCTCTAACAGTCAGGTTATAATTGTCACATTTGGGGCTGAAACTAAACCTGCCCTCTCCAGACTCTTCTCCAGGCAGAGGAATAGGTAGGTAGGATCAGCCAAGGTCGGAGGAGGAGACAAAATGATTTTTTGCATCCCCGTAACAGGAACTGTAATTGGAAATATTTACTGGTAAGGCTATAACCCCCGATTATGTTGGTCTGGAAAACTTACCAGAAACTTAAACCTCTAACTCAGTTATTATGGAGCAGCTAATGGGATTCAATAGTCGTCAAGTGGAAAAATTATCTTCCCATCGATTTGAAGGTAACAGCCGAGAAATGGGTCAACATGGCTGCTCAAAAAACAGCGGCTCAAAAAGTCCCATGGCGGCTAACTTAAGACCTGATGGTTCTTTTGCTTTTTTAGGGGAGGGGGGGGGGAAGAGGCATTCAGTCCACAAAGAAAATGGAAAACTGGGTGGGAGGTGGAATGAAATAAGAGCATCTGTCATAACCCACAACCCAGAGACTGGGCAATGGAATCAGAGAATTGCAGAGCTGCGATGGATCATCTAGTCCATGGGTAGGCAAACTAAGGCCTTCTAAATCCGGCGCATGGACGGTCCAGGGAATCAGCGTGTTTTTACATGAGTAGAATGTGTGCTTTTATTTAAAATGCATCTCTGGGTTATTTGTGGGGCCTGCCTGGTGTTTTAACACGAGTAGAATGTGTCCTTTTATTTAAAATGCACCTCTGGGTTATTTGTGGGGCCTACAGCAAGACACTGGGAGCTCTCCCAGGACCTTAAAGGCACCCTGGGTCTTGCTGGGTGGGACATTGCCTGGCTCCCCCTGGCAGCCTCAAGCTCCTGCCGAACGCACCACAGAGGAGGGCATGGCATGGCATGGCTCACTGACTGGAAGAGCGCACGGGTCCACTCCAAACGGCAACATTTTGTTGCAGTGTCCCACTTCCATTCCCTGGGCTTTAGGTCCTTCCCCCATCCTGCCAGGAAGTTAATTATGGCTGGAGAGGAATTCGGGGACTTTCTGTATGCAGGAGAACTACCTCTGAGATTGCGGGGCTGAAAAGATGAGCCTTTGGGTCCCTTCCAGCTGTACAATTCAGAGTCAGGGAGGCCAGGCCACCAACAGAGGTGGGCTTGAAAAGAGGATTAGGCAGATTCACAGAAGATAAGGCCCTCCGAGGCTGCTAAGCCTGATGGATGAGTTTTCCCTCTCCTGTCGGAGGCAGGGAGAGAGCTGCTAGGTGGGCTCTCAATAGGGGCATCTCACTCAGTGCCTGATTTACGTATAAACTAAACCAGCTATAGCTTAGGGCCCTGCTCTCTTGGGAGCCCCCACAAAATTTAAAGGAAAAAACCTGGATGTACATTTCCAAAATATAAGATAAAAAGCAAATAAAATAAAACCTACATACGGCAACAGTGTTTTGTGTTGTGTAAGCTCCTATTTGTTATGTGCAAATGGCTTTAGATACCCATTTGGTCCATAAATTGCCATATAGAATATATTCAACACAAAAAACAGCGACAATTTGTTGTTGGCAAAGGACAGCTGGACATATAAAGGGCCCCATTACCTTCAGGAGCTTAGGGCCTCATCAAACCTAAATCCGCCCTGATTTCGCTGCCCACTGTGAGAACAGAATGCTGGTCTAGGTGGGCCGCTGGCCTGATCCTGCAGGCTTTCCTTACGTTCTCAGGAAACCCTTGGTCCCATTTGCTCGGACACTCTGCTTCGACAGGCCGCACGTCTCAAGCAGAGAAACGTCTGCCCCGGTCACACCTGTTGCTTGATCTTAAAGCGCTGGTGTCGTGGATTGAAATCTGGGGACTTCTGCATGCCAAGCAGGTGCTCTCAGGCTGGTGCCCAGTGGGACTGGTAGGGCAGAATGCAAGGAGACTAACAGTAGGTGGCGCTAGAGACACTGGGAGGCAGCAAAGCCAGCTGATTCTGGGTTTGCCTCCATCTTCCTCACCCCTGCTGAGTCCTGCAAGGGCAAAACTGAGACTGAGTGGGAGGAAGATTGCCCCCTGGACTGGTAAGAATCCGTAGTCCAATCCTCTGCAATGTAGGAACCTTTTGCCGAAAGTGGGATTCGAACCCACAGCCCTGAGACAGATAAATGAGGCAAATAGTATATTACACTGCCCAAGCAAAGAAAATAAGGACAGGGAGACAGAAAGAGAGACCCCCCACCGACCCACACAGGTGGCCATCAGTTCATGGAAATGGAGGGTGTCTGAATGCCAAACCTCCCTGTTGAGAAGGCTTGGCCAATACAAAAAAAGGTCCAAAATGATTTCCTTCTGAGGAATGAGGTGCATTCAAGTGTCCAAATGATATATATATTGGCCAGGTGAGGAGCTGGAACATCAGCAGGTTTTGGGAATGCCGTTCTCTCTTTCAGCCTCAGGCAAATCAGCGGTACAGACAAAAAAACAACTTTAGCCCACCTTACAGGGTTGTTTGTGACAATCCCCGAGATAATATATGTAATGCTCCCTTCTGGAAAGCACTATATAAAGCGCTGAGTGTTATTATTTTGCACACTCAGTAATCTGCTGTTTCTCCCTTAAGGGGCCCGCAGCGAAATAAATGTTCAAAAAACAGCCATCGTTTGCAGTTCCGCTTTCCCTTAAATTGCAACAGGAGCCGTAAGTGGCTTGAGAAATGGATCGGAACATCCATTGGGCATTATTTCAATAAGAGCCTCCCGTGAAATGTGTGTTTTCTCCAAAGTAAGGCGGATGGCTTGGGACTCCTCCGACCCCTGCAAGCCTCTTTGAAATCAACGGAGGGAAGGAGCGGGTTTGAGAACCCCTTGATGATTCCAGCTGGGGACCAAAAGTGGGGTGGTCACAGTTTGGCACCCAGGATCCTGCGAAGACTCACCTCCGGCAAGCAGAACTCTGGAACAGAATCCACAAACGCCCGGCCAGCACAGTCTTTCAGCTCCTAGGGAAATGGGAGGGAGGAGAAGAGAGAAGACCCTCATCTGAAAAGGAAGAAATCCGAGGCTAGAGACAGCGAGGGCAGCAGAGGCTCCACCTGCCGGCTCCACCTGCCGGCGCTTACAGGCCGCGATGGCCAAACAGCTCGCAAGCTGCATCCGAACATGCGGCCATCGCAAAAGGCTGTAGCTGAATGGACGGACACCTGCCAATCCTGACATGCTCCTCAGGCCTGGCATCGGAGCCAGGCAGGGTTGGGAATCTGCTGCAGATCTTGCTCAGGGTCTGCCGAAAATCAGGGCCGGCCCTGTCCTCTCCCGGAAATCTCCACCAAACCTTTCTTTCCCTTGGCACTTCCTTCCTTCCCCACATTCTGTACTTTCACTCCGTCGGGTTTGGAGATGGAAACCGCCCTGCTCGTTCCTCCAGACATCCACATTAATATTCTCCCAGGCCTGTTAAATTAAATTAGTCTTTCTCCCTTTGCTCCGTCCGACAAGTTGGTTGCTGCGCATGCAAATAGGTCTGAGATGAGATGGGAGCAATGGCTGCTTAGACAACGAAAGCAGCGATGTCTCTCAGCAATCAGATGATGCATGCACTATGCTGCTGTACAGTTCTCTACACGGGGAAAGGGGTTTTTTTTTGGGGGGGGGAGCTGCCCCCCAAAGTTAAAGGTTGCATGTTTACCAAACAGTGCATTACCTTCTCTACAGTGTATCCCCCTGGCTTCAGCTCTTAAGGAATTCTAGCCAATTTTTGGCAAGTTCTAACAAACGAGCAATTACTTCAAATGGCAGGAGGCGCTTAACCTCATCCAGATATGTTAAAAGGTGAATTATGGGTAGGCTGGGTGAATTTCAATGCCTCCTCCAGTCTTAAAAACAAGGGCCTTCCTTCTTACATGACAAAGCACCCACCTTTGACCCCAGACTCCCGGCTGTGCGGAGAACTGGTCAATTCATTTGTCATTCTAAGCAAGCGCAACGGTCAATATAAGAAGCACAGCAGGATTCATAATTGAAGGGGCCCACTACAGGCAGCGCCTCCGAGAGGCTTCCGATGCGATTGTGGAACGCATTGTATCCATGCGGCTGACGGGGCTTCTTGCAATGTTCAGGGATTCAACATACGACGCGACTTGTGCATTCCCTGTGACAACAGGATGCTGGACTAGACGGGCCTGACCCTGCAGACACTTCTTAGTTTCTTAAGAATTCCCTCCAAAGTCTCCAACAGAGTCCAGGGGGAAAGCATGAGGGGCGAGGAGACATTTCAAGGTACTGTACAGTGACACCTTGGTTCTCAAACGCCTTGGTACTCAAACAACTTGGAACCCAAACACTGCAAACCCGGAAGTAAGTATTCTGGTTTGCGAACTTTTTTCAGAAGCCGAACATGCTCTGTTTTGAGTGTTACGCTTCCGATTTGAGTGCCACACTTCCGTTTTGGGCGTTACGTTGAGGTCTGTCTGTTTTTGCTATTTATTTTGTGTTTCTGTTTTTGTGGCTTTTCTTGTTTTTGTTTTTGTGACTGTTTGGAACCCAGTTCAGCTACTGATTGATTGTGTGACTGCAGTACAATGTTTATTTTCTTTCATTTTATGGAATGGTCTCGTAAGATAGTAAAATTCATGTTAAATTGTTGTTTTAGGGGTTGTTTTTTAAAGTCTGGAACGGATTAATCCATTTTGCATTACTTTCTATGGGAAAGCGCGCCTTGGTTTTGGAACACTTTGGTTTTGGAATGGACTTCAGAACGGATTAAGTTTGAGAACCAAGGTACCACTGTATTCTTTTTGCAAAAAATATTCTTTTTTGGAAATAATAATATTTTATTATTAATTTTGTAAAAGACGGGGCTAAGAATCATAAAGAGCAGGACTTAAAGGATTTGGCCTGGAAATGCAATTGCTTTTGGCAACGCTCTTGCTTTTCTCCCCAGTTAAATCAGAGTTTGTCCAAGCTCAACGGTGCTGGCTAATTAGCCAGGCTCGCTGAAAAGCCCAATCCCAGTTGTACATTACCTTGTCTAGAAAAGTGCTCCCATCTTTTAAGATCCAACCAGGGAGCTTAGATAGCCTTGGACTACAGGAAAAAGAAAAAGAAAAAAGCTGTGTTAATGGGTTTTATGGCAAAATCAGCACCCATTTTCGGAGAACGGTATAATATGACCTCCAGGTATAGGGAAGTATAAAAATTATTATTATTATTATTATTATTATTATTATTATTATTATTATTATTATTAAAGTTATTGATGCTCCGCGTACATTTCACAAACACAGCACAGCTAAGTCACCTTTCTCCAACATTGTGTCCTCCAGATGTTTCAGGCTGCAACTCGTAGTAGACTCAGCCAGATCATAAAAAATGATTTAAAATTTTGTAAATATTAAGCCCAGACAGAGCCACAACTGAGCTTTAATACTTCCTGGGCCTTACCATTAATGGATTAAATTTTAAATCCTGGAAAGCCAACAGCTTCCAAACAGTTTTCAAGGGCAGCCCCTACATGCAACACATTGCGGTAGTCTAACCTTTCAGCTCCATTCTTATTAGTATTATAATTTATTAATAAAAATTTAAAAAATCAACAATTGTACAGTAGCACCTTATAGACCAACTAAGTTTGTTCTGGTAAAAGCTTTCGTGTGCATGCACACTTCTTCAGAAACAGCAGAACAAACTTAGTTGGTCTATAACAGGCTTCCTCAACCTCGGCCCTCCAGATGTTTCTGGCCTACAACTCCCATGATCCCTAGCTAGCAGGACCAGTGGTCAGGGATGATGGGAACTGTAGTCTCAAAACATCTGGAGGGCCGAGGTTGAGGAAGCCTGGTCCATAAGGTGCTACTGGACAATTTTTGATTTTTTTGATTTTTATTTTGACTGTGTCAGACCAACACGGTTACGCTTCAATTTGCAGGAAAGGAGATTCCGACTAAACATTAGGAAGAACTTTCTAACGGCAAGAGCTGTTCGGCAGTGGAAAGGTCTCCCTTGGGAGGTGGTGGACTCTCCTTCTGTGGAGGTTTTTAAGCAGGGGTTGGGAGGCCATCTGCCATGGATGCTTTAGCTGAGATTCCTGCATCAAGACAGGTTGTACTAAATGACCCCTGGGATCCTTTCCAACTGTATGATCTACCCAAGGAGTTGAGAAGGAGCAGAGCAAGGCTCTGTACCGTTGAGACTACCTCCTCCATCACAGCCACCATGCCAGGACACCACGAGTCTTTGTGGCAGAAAAGGGGTACCAGCAACATCTGGGGGGGGACACAGGTTTCCTCATATCTGGAATAAACACATACAGTGAGGGGGGAAAGTTATTTGATCCCCTGCTAAATTTGCCCGTTTGCCCTCCAACGAAGAAATGACCAGTCCATAATTTTAATGGTAGGTTTATTGTAGCTGTGAGAGACAGAATAACAACAGGAAAAACCCAGAAGACAAAAGTCAGAGATTGATGTGCATTAGAATGAGTGAAATAAGTATTTGATCCCCTATCAACCAGCCAGATGTCAGGCTACCTGGTATCTTCACTGTATGCAACGAGCTGAGATTAGAAGCACCTGCTGTAAGGGAGAGGTCTTACCTGTAATCCCAGCTCATTACAGTACCTGTACAAGAGACACCTGTCGACAGAAGCAATCAATCCAGCAGATTCCGAAGTAGCCACCAGGACCAAGACCAAAGAGCTGTCCAAGGATGTCAGGGACAAGATTGTAGATAGACCTGCACAAGGCTGGACTGGGCTACAAGACTATTGCCAAGCAGCTTAGTAAGAAGGTGACAACAGTTGGTGCAATAATTCGCAAATGGAAGGAACACAAAATAACTGTCAACCTCCCTCGGTCTGGGGCTCCATGCAAGGTCTCATCTCGTGAAGTTGCAATGATCAGGAGAACGGTGATGAAGCAGCCCAGAACTACACGGGGGGAACTTGTCAATGATCTCAGGGCAGCTGGGACCATAGTCACCATGAAAACAGTTGGTAACACACTACGCCGTGAAGGACTGAGATCTTGCAGAGCCTGCAAGGTCCCCTTGCTTAAGCTGTCTGCAGTTTGCCAATGCACATCTGAATGACCCAGAGGAGAACTGGGTGAAAGTGTTGTGGTCAGATGAGACCAAAATCGAGCTCTTTGGCATCAACTCAACTCGCCATGTTTGGGGGAGGAGGAATGCTGCCTAGGACCCCAAGAACACCATCCCCACCGTCAAACATGGAGGGGGACATATTATGCCTTGGGGGTGTTTTTCTGCTAAGGGGACAGGACACCTTCACCGCATCGAAGGGACGATGGACGGGACCATGTATCATCAAATCTTGGGTGAGCACCTCCTTCCCTCAGCCAGGGCATTGAAAATAGGTCGAGGATGGGTACTCCAGCATGACAATGACCCAAAACACACGGCCAAGGCAACAAAGGAGTGGCTCAAGAAGAAGCACATTCAGGTCCTGGAGTGGCCTAGCCAGTCTCCAGCCCTTAATCCCACTGAAAATCTGTGGAGGGAGCTGAAGGTTCGAGTAGCTTACACATCAGCCTCGAAATCTTACTGACTTGGAGAGGATTTGCAAAGAGAAGTGGGACAAAATACTTCCTGAGATGTGTGCAAACCTGGTGGCCACCTACCAGAAACATCTGACCTCTGTAATTGCCAACAAGGGTTTTGCCACCAAGTAATAAGTCACCTTTTGCAAAGGGATCAAATACTCATTGTAATGCACATCAATCTCTGACTTTTGTCTTCTGGGTTTCTGGGGTTTTTCCTGTTGTTATTCTGTCTCTCACAGCTACAATAAACCTACCCTTAAAATTATGGACTGGTCATTTCTTTGTCAGGGGGCAAATTTAGCAGGAGATCAAATACTCCCCCCCCCACTGTACTCTTTAAAAGAGAAGATGATGAAGAGGTGAGCTGCTCGCCCAGGAACTTTACGCTCCTCCCCGATAAGCACAAGATGTTCCCTTTTGATGATGCAATATGGAAGAGGGGAGTGGGAGGGGGGGGGACGATCAACGTCTCCCGCGATATTGAGGCTCTCTTCCCAGAAGCCTCCCAAATAAAGCAACTCTCGCCGACGGGCTCCTGACAGTGTAATGAAGTGATTGATTAATCCTAAATAGCTCGACACGACACATAAATAAAACAAGCAAATGTGACAGGAAAGGTTAACAGCCTCCCTGCGACTGGGTTTCAGCATCTCCGCAGTCAGATTCTGTTACAGGAGGAGAAGTTTCGATTCTTCAACCTGCTTCCCAGAACCACGTACAGGCTGCTTACGAAAGTGAAAATTAGTTCTGGTGGTGGTGCGATCACATCTACTACTATTAATTATTATTTGTTTTAACTACTATTATTATTATCTGTTATTATTAATCACCTACCCTTTACCCTAAGGTCTCAGGGCGGGTTACAGTTAGGTAAAGGTAAAGGGACCCCTGACCATTAGGTCCAGTCGTGGCCGACTCTGGGGTTGCGGCGCTCATCTCGCTTTATTGGCCGAGGGAGCCGGCGTACAGCTTCCGGGTCATGTGGCCAGCATTACTAAGCCGCTTCTGGCGAACCAGAGCAGCGCACGGAAATGCCATTTACCTTCCCGCCGGAGTGGTACCTATTTATCTACTTGCACTTTGACGTGCTTTCGAACTGCTAAGTGGGCAGGAGCTGGGGCCGAGCAACGGGAGTTCACCCCGTCGCGGGGATTCGAAACCGCCGACCTTCTGATCAGCAAGTCCTAGGCTCTGTGGTTTAACCCACAGCGCCACCTGCGTCCCCATAGGTTACAGTTAAAAACAACTTACGATCACAAAAAGGAAGCTAGGAATCTGTACAGGCAGCTCTCCACGTGGGAGCAATCTGCTTGTACGGTCCGAAGGTCAGGGCATGCATGGTCTGAAGGGACATGCTTAGCACATAAGAAGAGCTCTGTTGGATCAGGCCAACGGCCCATGTAGTCTGGAGGCGTAACATGGGTTGCCGCTGCCCGTGATGGGGCAAGTGTTGCATCCCGCCTCCCCGGTGGACTGGGCAGCAGTCAGCCCCTTTGCCAGCCGGCGTCTAATCAAGGGAGACTCTTCTTGCAAACTAGCCCCAACCTGGGAGCAGAGATAAGGCAGAGAAATGTGAAGCCAGGTGCGCCTCTGCCCTCTTGCCCTCCCGTGACAGCCATCTCAGTTGCTTCGTTTGAGCTGTGGCAAGGATTTCCCAGCGCACAGGAATCGGGACCCATCGGGAGACCCACTTCCTTTTCTGATTATGTTGAAGATCCTGTAACATATCTACTTTTTAATTTGTGGGGTGGGCTGCTGTGTGTCTGGGAGGGGGAGATATACGCCTGGCAAGCTTGCACTTTCCTCCTGGCTCCCATTTATCTCTCCTTGCCTGAAGAAGCCAGAAAAGATGACAGATCTGTGACCTCACTTGCGCTGAGCCGCTGCCGCAATACTTTACTGAAGCTTAGAATAAATTATCTGGAAAACCGAATCGATAAATCCATAAACCGTTTTCCATCTACTGAGCCAAAGGACGTTATTTTGATAAAGGGAATTTTTAAGTGGACTAAGTCTATTTATGCTATCGGGCAATGCTGCGGGCTCATTTGAAAAAAAAAAAACACCTCCTTTCCCAGGCAATTCAGCTCTGGGCTTTCCTCCCAGAAAGAATGCCCTCAGCCCCTAAACTTCTCCCTCCCCAAAATCTAGCTTACGAAGCGGAAAGCAGAACCGGAAAGCGTGCAAGGAGCCTCGGGACATACCTCTGGACCAAAGGCAGGGGCAGAAAGTTGAGCGTCGAGGTCATATCCAGCCCACAGTCGAGCATAATGGTGGTCGATTTGAATTTGAGGACGTTGCATGGTAGCGTTGGGTGTCCGGACAGGCAATACTAAGGGAATGAGATGGGATCCAATAAATGACCAATAAAAGCAAAAGGAATTCACAGGCCTGAAAGGGAGGAAGAAGCTTTGCCAACCAGTCTGCTGCCCAAGAATCCTTGCCATATTTTAAATAATCTCATAATGGTTCAAGGTTAGCATGACCTGCTCCCCATTCTCTTTGACACTTATTCACTGAGCAAATTTTACTTATTCACTGAGCAAAATTTCTGGTGTCGCCAGAAGTGGCTTAGTCATGCTGGCCACTTGACCCAGAAAAACTGGCTGCGGACAAACGTCAGCTCCCTCGGCCAGTAAAGCGAGATGAGTGCCACAACACCAGAGTCGTTCGCGCCTGGACCTACTGTCAGGGGTCCTTTACCTTTACCTTTTTACGTTTCTGAGCACAATTCAAAGTGTTGGTGCTGACCTTGAAAGCCCTAAACGGCCTCGGCCCAGTATACCTGAAGGAGCGTCTCCACCCCCATCGTTCTGCCCGGACACTGAGGTCCAGCTCTGTGGGCCTTTTGGCGGTTCCCTCCCTACGAAAAGTGAGGTTACAGGGAACCAGGCAGAGGGCCTTCTCAGTGGTGGCACCCGCCCTGTGGAACGCCTTCCCATTAGATGTCAAGGAAATAAACAACTATCTGACTTTTAGGAAACACCTGAAGGCAGCCCTGTTTAGGGAAGTTTTTAATGTCTGACGTTTTATTGTGCTTTTAATACTCTGTTGTGAGATGCCTGGGCGGGGGCATCACAAATGTTAGTCTGATCAACCATGGCAACAGAAGTGATTTAATAATGGAACATTTTCACATTTATTATTAGAAACTTCCTAGTGATTCCATCTCATGAAAAGTATTAATAGAAAGGGCGAGTCACACGCAACAGAAATGCTGCTCAGATATATTAGTCTATATTCTATTACATGTGTGGCAATGATGCTCCTATCACTGCAGTGATAGCTGCAGTGATGGCTGAAAATGTTCAGCAACTTAGTGAATGGAGCTCTTTTCAGTCGAGGTTTTGTGAGGGAAGGGGATGTTGTCAGTTTGGATGGGACACTTCTCCAGATGGGAAAGGATTTGATCTGGTGTTTGGGATACTGCCTTTCGCTTGGGCTTAGGACCTCAATGTCAGAGGCTGGACTCAGCTTCACTGAAGGATCCTGGTACCTCACCCCAGATGCAACATTACCCAGAGATTGGTGTAAGGTCAGGGGCTTCTGGTCCTCCTCTGATGAGGAGACCCCTGACTGGGGCATGACACCCATCTCTGGTCTAGACCCTAAGAGTTGTGGCTTCTCGTATTACTGCAGCCTCATGACTTGGAAAATCTAAAAGGTAAAGGTAAAGGGACCCCTGACCATTAGGTCCAGTTGCGGACGACTCTGGGGTTGCGGTGCTCATCTCGCTTTACTGGCCGAGGGAGCCGGCGTACAGCTTCCGGGTCATGTGGCCAGCATGACTAAGCCGCTTCTGGAGAACTAGAGCAGCGCACGGAAACGCCGTTTACCTTCCCGCTGGAGTGGTACCTATTTATCTACTTGCACTTTGACGTGCTTTTGAACTGCTAGGTTGGCAGGAGCAGGGACCGAACAATGGGAGCTCACCCCGTCACAGGGATTCGAACCGCCGACCTTCTGATTGGCAAGCCCTAGGCTCTGTGGTTTAACCCACAGCGCCACCTGTGTCCCTGGAAAATGTAAGAGGGGTGCAAAAAAGAGGGGCGAAGTACTTTAAACTGTACTTTTAATTCTGTTGGGAGCTGCCCAGAGTGGCTGGGAAAATCCAGCCAGATGGGCAGGGTATAAATGATAAATTTATTATTATTATTATTATTATTATTATTATTGCAGAAGGAGCAGATCTCAATTTCACAATTTGGTCTGAACTAACTGAGCCACTAGATGTTTGCAAAGAAGAACCCTTTTGCAAAGAGCACGATCACCAGAAACTACATACTAGCAGAAACAGCTGGAGTGCAAGATATACGGTATCGTTCTCGGGTCTATCGCAAAAAGCCTTGGTTGGCAGAAGAGGGCAGGAAATAAGACCAAGTGTTTGTTCAAAGTTTGGGCACTCAGATGCCTGGGGACAACCTTGCAGAAGAGGCAGGGTTCATGCAACCACTTAAGAGGTATTGATGGGAACATAGGTTGACGCTAAGCGGAAAAGCATTACCCATCGCCCAAGATGGAAAAGAGGGAACTCTCGATATGGGAGGAGATCTCGATCGCTGACCGTGCCAAGTCCAAAGCAAAGAAGGCTGGCTTATTCCCTTAAGTACGTTACCAGAGAGCTCTTTGAGACTCAAATAATACCAAACATATGAAATCATAATATGCAAACATGGGTGCATTTGTGCGCGAGGGAGAAAAATCCAAATGCAAACACGGTGAGAGTCAAGAATGCTGGCAACAAGCCCTAAGCCACTTGCTGGTGAAATCACTCCAGGATAAGGCAGCAAACACCGGGTAGAACACACATTTTTTAAAAAAATCATTTCATTTTCTCAAGTTTTATGGTTTGGACTTTCGATTTGAAACAAGAATTACATATGGCATTTATGAACGACGATATACAGTGGTGCCCCGCAAGACGAATGCCTCGCAAGACGAAAAAACCGCTAGACGAAGAGACTCGCGGAACGGATTATTTTCGTCTTGCGAGGCACCACTGTAGCAGAAATACACAATAATCACACCCAGAGAGAAATAATAGGAAAGTGGGGCATGACACAAACTACACATAATTCACACATAATCGTATGCCTGCTTACTCTGAAATAAACCTCACCGTGTTTGATAGGGCTTACTCCTTTGCAAATCTGTTGCTGCCATTAAATAGAGAGTAAAATTCACACCAGGGATGAGGAACCTCCAGATGCTATCCTGGGGTTCCCCCAGACTTGAGGGGTTCAAAGATTATGAGAGGGGGGAGAAAACCCTCTCTCCTCCTCCTCCTCCTGTGTGTTTAAGATTGTAAACCCGTGGGGAATGACTTGTGCTGCAGTTTAATTTTTGCAAAGCCCCTAGACATTTTAAAGCATTTTAATGATCATGGTAGTATCACAGAATTGTAGGGGGTGAAAAGGGCCACGAGGGTCATCTAGTCCAACCCCCTGCAATGCAGGAATCTTTCACCCAACATGGGATTCGAACCCACAACCCCAACCTTACGAGACTCATGGCACAAATGCTATAATAGAAGATCAGGGGTGTCTTTCAACGTTAAATCTATGCTGTAAGGAACCCTCAGATGTGAAGTTCTCTGTTGGATTTTGGACTGTGAGTATGTATTATTACACGACGGGTTCCTTGTGGAAGCAATGGCTGTTCATCTGGTTTGTTTCTGGTGGAGAGGCAAGGTGTTTTCACATGTGAGAATTAAATTAGCTTTACTTAAAGTGAGAAAGCACGTGCGATTTTAAAATAGCTCTCTTCCCCAATGCCTCCTGCAATGGCTTAAATAAAAAGATGGATCTTCCGGAATCAAAGTCAGGGTAGTGATGTTAAATTCTTGAGAATAACCTTTTGCAGAATATTACTGAGAATATTCTTGATTAATGAGAATATTAGAGAATTTTCATTTAAAATAGGAGAATATTCATTTTAATGCATTGAAAATGATATAATTTTAATTCATTGAAAATGATATAATTAGTTAATATACATGTTTATTCATGGGTAAACTTGTTCAGATGGCAACCAAAAACTGTACAGATACTTTTATTCAATGGGGCAATGCAGTGAATTCACATTCTTTGATTTCTTGCACCAAACTTGAAATCAAAAATTCAACGTGAATGACTCACTTTAATCACTAAGCCTGCCACTAACCATATTAAAGCTACTTTCTGTAAAAAAATAAATTTAAAAAAATCACACTGTATGGCCAAGGGTATAGAATTGCTAAGAATAAGGTCACACCAAAATAGAAAAAAGGCTATTACGGTACATATAGTTGAAATACATACGAAATCAAATGTTCATCAAATTAAATGAATAACATTTTTAAAACTAAAAAATAAAAACTTTTCTGTAGCTCACATTTCAGAACTGCCAATGGTGAATGACACAATGTCCAGTAATGTAACTGGATTAAAAAATAAATAAATCATTATTCATTACTTGCACTGGCAATATCACAGCTTGACTTATTATTTACCAGATTTTTAAAATGTGGTTTGTAAAACTGGTTCTTACATTAGAATTTACAGTTTGTGCAGAATATTCTCAAGAATATTCTCATTCTCGAGAATATTTTTATTCTAAGTCACGGTCCATCTAGCCTAGCAACCTGCTGGACTCTTCTGGAAAGCCCTCAAGGAGAACAGAAGGCCAGCAGTTCTCCCACTGCTTGTCTCCAACACCAAATTCTCGAAGGTAGACTGCTCCCAATGTGGAGGTTCCATTGAGATATTGTGATTTCCCCTCTACTGATGTACCACTGGTCCTGTTGTCCTTTACAAATCTGTCTAATCTTCCCTCAAAGCAGGGAATGGGGGAAATGTGGATCTCCAGATTTTGGGAGACTGCAGTTCCTATAATCCCTGGCCATTGCCATTGCTGGCTGTGGACGATGGGAGTTGGGAATTCAACATCACGAGGGGCCACAACTGTTCCCCATTTCTGCTTTAACGCCATCTTGTAGCAGGAAGTTCCACAAGCTACTCGTGTTTTGCATGAAATACGTGCGTCTGAATTTATGACCATCCATATTCACACACGACACAGATAATATGCGACGGACACTAAAACGGTTGTCTTTGGAGTCGTGCAGCTACTAAAAACCCTGAGGCTCTTAAATCCAGAGATTTCCCCTTCTTTATAGGAAAGCTGCAAAATGCAAAGCAGGCTAGGACTGATTGCCCTTTCCCAAGCCTAGGAATAATGCTTGACATTTGTAGAGTGCATTTCTAGCATAGTAGACGCTTCATTGCCAATAAATCTTAGCAGAAACCCTGCAAAGTAGGCCAGATTCAATATTGCTGACGTGGAAAGAAGCACATACAATATTACTTCCAAAACCAGGAACAAATAGAGAAATGACGCATAATTATAGACCTATATCGCTACTAAATACGGATTATAAAATTTATGGTGAAATATTTGCAAATAGTTTAAAAATAGTTCTTAATGAAGTCGTAAGTCATGATCAAACCGGATTTCTTCCAGGTAGGAAGATGTGTAATAACATGAGAATCACTAAAATGGTTTCGTGGGAGCCGATTGAAACTCAATCCTTCGAAGACAGAGGTCCTCTGGCTGGGTCGGAATGGTATGGGGATGAGGGACCAACTCTCTTCTCTTGCGGGGGCCAATTAGTGCCATTGCCTTCTGTTAAGAGTTTGGGTGTAATCCTTGACGCCTCCCTTTCCATGGAGGTGCAGGTTACAGCAACAGCCAAGGCGACATTGTTCCACCTTCGCCGCATCAAGCAGTTGGTCCCTTACCTTTCCCGCCCCGACCTGGCCACAGTGATCCATGCGACGGTCACCTCCAGGCTTAACTACTGTAATTCGCTCTACGCGGGGCTGCCCTTGAAGCTGGCCCAGAAACTTCAGCGGGTGCAGAATGCTGCAGCGAGGCTCCTCACGGGGTCCCTGCCATGGAAGCATATTCACCCAGTGCTTTACCAGTTGCACTGGCTCCCAGTGGAGTACAGGGTCAGATTTAAGGTGCTGCTTTTGACCTTTAAAGCCCTTCACGGCCTAGGACCCTAGTACCTACGGGACCGTCTCTCCCGGTATGCCCCACGGAGGACCTTAAGGTTCATAAATAGCAACACCCTAGAGGTCCCGGGCTGAAAGGAAGTCAGATTAGCCTCAACCAGAGCCAGGGCCTTCTCAACACTGGCTCCGGCCTGGTGGAACGCTCTGTCTCACGAGACCAGGACCCTGCAGGATCTGATTTCTTTCCGCAGGGCCTGTAAGACAGAGTTGTTCCACCTGGCCTTTGGCTTGGAATCAGTTTGATTCCCTCCCCCCTCTTTTTCCTCCTCCTGTGATGAGGCTGCATGTCTTAACATTGTATTTTAATGTTGTTTTTAAGTTGCATTTGAATCAACATGTTTTTTATTGGTGTTAGCTGCCCTGAGCCCGGTCTTGGCTGGGGAGGGTGGGGTATAAATAAAATTTATTATTATTATTATTATTATTATTATTATTATTTACTTCCAAAACCAGAAACAAATAGAGAAATAATTATAGACCTATATTGCTACTAAATTTTCCCAGTAGTGATGTATGGAAGTGAGAGCTGGACCATAAAGAAGGCTGATGGCCGAAGAATGGATGCTTTTGAATTCTGGTGCTGGAGGAGACTCTTGAGAGTCCCATGGACTGCAAGAATATCAAACATGTCCATTCTGAAGGAAATCAGCCCTGAGTGCTCACTGGAAGGACAGATCCTGAAGCTGAGGCTCCAGTACTTTGGCCACCTCATGAGAAGAGAAGACTCCCTGGAAAAGACCCTGATGTTGGGAAAGATGGAGGGTACAAGGAGAAGGGGACGACAGAGGACGGGATGGTGGGACAGTGTTCTTGAAGCTACCAGCATGAGTTTGACCAAACTGCGGGAGGCAGTGGAAGACAGGAGGGCCTGGCGTGCTCTGGTCCAGGGGGTCACAAAAAGTTGGACACGACTAAACGACTAAACAACAACAACAACAACAACAATCGCTACTAAATACGGATTATAAAATTTATGGTGAAATACTTGCAAATAGGTTAAAAATAGTTCTTAATGAAGTCATAAGTCATGATCAAACCGGATTTCTTCCGGGTAGGAAGATGTGTAATAACATGAGAATCACTAAAATGGTGATTTCTTAGGAGTCCTGCAGCTACTATAAAACCCGAGGCTCATAAATCCAGACATTTCTCCTTCTTTATGGAAAAGCTGCCAGATTCTGAGCCATAGCATCCCTCTCAGGTGGCCTCCAAGGAAGAAATGAGGCTTTTTCTTCTATATATGAATAATAACAGCCTCCAGATTAAATCCCCTCACCCTCAGGGGAGCCGAGGTCCACCTCGCAGGGCTGCAGGGCGCGTGTGTGTCCCCCTCATGCCGGTCCCCCGCCTCCCCACCAGCCTCCCCAACTCACCAGCTTCATGCTTCACCCGGCTGTTATTTGCAGAGGACCGGCCCCTTTCCCGGCCTAGGCCTCTCCCCCCGCAAAGCACGCTGGGATATGTAGTCTCCCTATGGTGCCCTCATCATTCTGTCCCCAATGAAGTCATGGGCAGCCGGCCGAAGAGCATGCTGGGAATCGTAGTCCCCTCCTGGCTGCGTTTCCCCCCGACGCCAACCTGCTCCTCGCTCTCCCGTCTCCTGCCGCCTCATTGGCGCGGCGGCGGCGGCGCGCGGGGGCCGCCGGGAGCCGTAGTCCCCGCCCGCCGGGTCTGCGCCGGCCCCCTTGGGGATGGAGGACTACAAATCCCAGGGCCTCCCCGCGGCGGCAGGTGGGAGCTTGGATGTTGATATCAACATGGCGCTTGTCAGACAGACAAAGGCAGCCAGTCTGGTCTGATTGAGCTCAGAGGGGAGCAGGGAGGAGTGGGAGGGGTTTTTCTCCCTTCTCTTCCTTGGGGGGCGCCAGGGGGAGCTGGGGCTGGGGGCTTGCAGGGCTTTGCACACACCCCTGGGCACACTGCCCCCCCTCATTTTATTTTTGCAGACCCCCCCTGCAAGGAAAAGGGGGAGGAAAAACCCACCAAACCAGCCTCTTTCCTTTTCTGCATTTTGGGAGTCACCCCCCCTCACCCCCCAACTCCTGCCGTTCAATGGTCAAGTGGAGAAGGAAGGAAGCGCGACCCAAAGGTGAGTTGTCCTTTGGCCAGGGAAGGGCATGATCTGGGGTGGGGAGTTGGGGGGTGGGAGTGATCTTGCAAAAGGGGAGAGGATAAGTGGGGCATGACTTCCACCACCTCTTCCTCCCCCCCCCCATTCACCTCTTTTTGGGGGTTCTGGTGGGAGCGATTCATTGCAACCTTTGGGAGTTAGGAGGGGTGGGGTGGGAGGGAGGTGGCAAAAAATGCACCCTAAGTAACTTTTGTGGCGTATGAGAATTTTTAAGAGTCAATGGAAAGAGGGGGAATGTTTTTTCCTTCTGAGTTTTGTGTGTGGCGGGGAAGTCTTTTGCAAATAGCTTTTTTTTTAAAAAAAGAGGGGGTATTTCTTATTTATTTTAAATTTTTGGTGGGGAAGTTTTTAAAAAGGAACACAGGCGCCCCTTTTTTCCCCTTGAAAGGTCTGATTTGGGGGCAAAAAGAGGTGCGGATGAAATGCCTGCTTGGGTGCTTGCTCACCATCACTTATCACTGGTTCCTAGTTGCCTCTTATCTCACTTTAGCCATCCATTTGGGAAGCAGGCAAAGTGAAATGAAAGCTTGGATTAATCGTCTTGATGTGCTCATATGTCTTGAGTGGTTCCGGTGGTCCTGAACTGGGTTGAGAGACCGTTGTCAATGATGCCGATCATGTTTATTCTGGATTATTTACTCGAAAGGGAAGATGTGATGTTGTCTGGATTTTAGTTTGCGTTTTCCCCTCCCAAGCATCTGAAAACCTTAGGCTTAAGGGAGCCCTGATAATCTTTGCATTGAATTAGCCAGGCAAAGCCACACCAGTCTGACTTGATTGTTTCCTAACAAATGTGTTCTTGCTTAGGTCAAGGTGGTGATCCCTCAGGGCATGAGAAAAGTCAAACAGGGATGCTTCTCTCGCCTTCAGTGCAAACCACATGAACAAAAAAAAAACCTGTTTTGCATGATGTGTGGGATTTGCATGACTTGTGTGTGATGATGGCAGGATGGTTTCTGCTTGCTACTTTACGGCTAGGGTTTGCTGGGATCTGAGACCAATGACAAATTCCTTTTTGAGGATCTTGCAGGGCAGCTGTCTTCATCTTGACGGTCCTAGTACTTTTCAGAGTGCCTGAAATGGGGAATTATTATTTTCAGAAATGAAAATAAGGATGTAAGGTTGAGAGGTTGGGTTTCATGTCTGCCAAGTCTTGCTGGGGAATTGGTCTCAGTGCCGACTGGGGCAACTGATGCTCTGCTTACAGGCAGTTTAGCTACAGCTGCATTAATCTCAAACTTTCGTATTCCTATTGCCTTGAGTGCACTAAAACGAGCTGAAATATTTAGACCTCACTGAGTTGTGGACAGGAGGCAGGGAAGGTTTTTGACACACAGCGCTTGTGCTGAAGAAGCTGTTCTCTATTTTATTTTATTTTTTGACGTGATGAGAATGTTAGTATGCAAAATGTGCACAGGTTGAAAAGGGAGAAGGTGCTTTTTAAGGTTGCTGATGGGTCTGTGTCAGGATACCTGAGACACTGAGGCTAAAACATCCTCCTCAAAGAAGCGAGAATGACAAGCAAAAGGTGTGAACTGTTGCTGCGTCCAGACCTTCAGAGGGAGGGGTTGGGATCCGCTATGGGAATACTGGCTTGGAACAGGAGAAATGAATGCCTTAGCCTTAAGGAAACCAAGGCAATTTGTGCGGCACTTGGATGTCATACAATTTTCATCCCCTTTTACTCACATAATATTGCTGATTCAGACCTCGTTTGGTACATGGGTAAAGGCTTCTTTCTGCGCTTTGCACCTCAGATGATTCTGGGGCTGGTCTCCAGCACCTAAAATCTGATGCAAGCGCCTAGGAGTTTTGAAAGGTTTCCTTCCCCACCTCTCAGAAAGTTAAGAGGATGCTGTAAATGAACCATTGTGGTACCTTGAGTGAAGGGCTGAACTTGAGCCTGCGAGGTTCTGTTTCACATCCAATACAGCCAGGGATTCGCTGGGACTTTGTTGTTGTTTAGTCGTGTCCGACTCTTCGTGACCCCATGGACCAGAGCACGCCAGGCACTCCTATCTTCCACTACCTCCCGCAGTTTGGTCAGAGCTGGGACTTTAGCTCCTTCAAATCCCATTCTAGGTCACAATCTTAAACCCATTGACCTGAGATTAAGCCCCATGGAAGTCAGAAGGATTTACTTCTGCATATGCATGGTTAAGATTGCACTGTTAGCCATGAGATCATTAGCAGTGCACTCCTATTCATGTTTACTCAGAAGTCAGTTCCTTTGAGTTAGTTCATGGGGGGTTTATTCTTAAATAGGCTACAGTCCTATACACACCAGTCTTGGACGGAACACCAATTCCTACCCTCAACCCTTTTTTCATTTGCAGCCTAGGGATAGCAACACTGATCCACCTTACAGGATTCTTTGTAAGGATTACTAAGGGAGCAAATGGGGATCTCTTTGAACACCCAGAAGCATTATTCCAGTGCTAAGCCGTAGTATTTCTATTTTCCAGACTTGTGTCCCATCTGTAAAATAGGAAGGTGGCTGAGAAAGTGAGGCCTCGATACTCGATATCTCCATGGGTAATCTGAATAAGTATTATTATTTTTAAATCCTCTTGTGCGTCTTGGCAGGAGGAAAATATAAAGGAGGGGACCGGTGGGACTGCCTTGAAAACCGCTCAATCTTTTTTCATTGAAGCATCACCGTTATGCCCAGATAGGAGCAGACTTTCCTGATGGGGTTTAAAAGGCTCATCCCATGGAAGTGAGTTTGAGCTTTCTGCTTCTGTTTGGGCAGTTGTCTTTTGGCTGTGTAAGTAAGAGAGACTAAGGTTAAAAAGAGAGAGGGTGGGAGACTGGAGAAAGGTGTGACTCCTGACCTAATGAAGAGAAATCATGTTTTGAATTAGCCGGGAAGCATGGAATGAATTCAGGCAAAGAGGCTGTATTTCCAGTGGAGGGTTCAGAACGGGATTGGTGATGTTTTGTTCTGTGCCTCTGACTTACATTGCATTAGAGACCATTGGGCTACCTAACCTGCCATTATTATTATGTATTTATTTAGAGTGTTGTTGTTTTTTTTAAAAAAATATTCCTCTTCAGCCAGAAAGAGTGCCTTTCAAGTGTTAGCGATACGGCAGTCCCAGCACTTGGGCTTGCAATCTAAAAGACGTCGTAGCAGAAAAAGAAAAGGCACTGGGAGGAGTATCCTGGCTGCTCTGACTGGCAGCTGCTCTCCAGGGTCTTTTGCAAAGATCTTCCTTAGCGACTGCATTGCAGGGGGTTGGGCTAGATGACATTCGGAGGGTCCCTTCCAACTCTGCAGTTCTGTGATTCTGTGACTGCTACCTGAGATCCTGTTAGATTGCACCTGTGACTTCTGGCATGTGCTCAACCAAAGGGTAACGTTTACAAGGATTGCAGCGGCCAACCTTGGTCATATTCCCCGGCTCCATGAATGAATGGCCAAGGCTTGCTGTGGGCTGCTAGTGGCTGGTTTGCTGCTGACAGTCAGCTTCTGTTTGGATAACAAGTTAGCTGTGAACTGAAGTCACCCCCTCTCCAAAAGAGAGAGAGAGAGAGAGAGAGAGAGAGAGAGAGAGAAAGCCTAGTTAATGTGTGGCAGCGTTTTCCTGACCTTGGGAGCTGTACCTAAACGCCATTGTTTTCCAAGCTGCTTCGCAGCTTCCTATTTTCCTAGTGCTTTCTGGAAGGGTAAAAATATTTGCAGTACGTTTGAAGCTGCTAAAGCTGAGTTTTGCAAATTGCACCGGTATAAATCTCTGCTGCTGTTGTCGCTTGAACGCTGTGCTTGGATTAAAACACTGGATTTCCTGAAAGCTTGTACCTTTCCCTTTCATTTTTTTCTCTTGGTCATTGTGGAGTCTGCTCCATTTCCACAGGGCCTGAGCTCACTTCCTGAGTTGAGGGCAGCCTGGGACAGGACAAGGTGATCAAGATGAATCGCTTCCACCCCTGTGGAAGACCTGTGGGACTCTTAACCATGAGTTCACCTTTGACTGTGAGCTCAGGCTTTGCAGGACGAAGAAACAGATTTTTGGCTGCACTGTGCATCCCCAGAAACAATCCTGGAAACTGTAGTTCCTTAGCGCTGCTGGGAATTGCAGCTCTGCGAAGGGTGAACTACTGTTCCCACGATTCTTTGGGAGAGGTCATGTGCTTTAAATATGTGGTTTGTGTGCAGTTACCTCTGTATGTTCTCTTCTAAACCCTCTTTTTCTTTGCGGTGGAGGCCAAGGCCCGAAAAAGACTCAATATGGAGGCCTATTGGCCGAAATATTGGGAATTAATAGAAAATATTGGAGACAATTGGAAGCTGCAGAGCCAGGACAAATTAAAAAATAAGGTGCGAGACTGGTTACATTATGCTCAAATTCAAGAGGTTTTTAAAATGGATAAAAAGGTGGGTTTCCAGGCGGAAAAATCGAAACTAGAGACAGAATTGTTAGAACCAAAGACTAAGATTTTATCGAGAATGTATAACTTGCTGCTTAAATGGAATACACAGGATGAGGTAGTTAAAACTGCCATGATAAAATGGGCACAGGATGTTGGACACAACATAATGTTTGAAGACTGGGAAAGGTTATGGAACACCGGAATGAAGTTCACGGCATGTACTGCCTTGAAGGAAAACATTATGAAAATGGTATACCGGTGGTACATGACCCCAGTCAAGCTAGCTAAAATATATCACCTGTCTGACAACAAATGTTGGAAATGTAAGGAGGCAGAAGGGACATTTTTCCATCTCTGGTGGACCTGCCCAAAAGTGAAGGCCTTTTGGGAAATGATACATAATGAATTAAAAAAGGTATTTAGGTATACCTTTTCTAAGAAACCTGAGGCCTTCCTGCTGGGTATGGTGGACCAGAAAATGTTAAAGAAGGATAGAACTTTGTTTATGTATGCAACTACAGCAGCAAGAATACTCATCGCAAAGAACTGGAAGACACAAGATTTACCCACGCTGGAGGATTGGC